GGGGGGGGCTTCGGAGAGGCTGTGAGGGAGGAGGAGGAGGAGGTTTTAGGAGAGGGAAACGGGGGGCGTGTGGGGAGGGGAGAGGCTTTGGGGAAAGAGGGGGACCCAAGAGGAGCGCGCTGGGGAGAGGGAGACCGAGGTGGCGGCGGGGGGGAAGCCCTGGGGGAGGCGAGGGAGGAAGTTGTGGGGAGAGGGAGACCCGGGTAGGGGAAGAGGGCGTGGGGAGGGGGGCTGTGGAGAGAGGGTTTGCAGGCTGTAGAGGAGGGAGGGCGCGGGGAGGAGAGAGGAAAACTGAGGAGAGGGTTCGCGGGTGGAGGGGGCTGCTTGAAGGAAGCAACTTTTCTCTAATGGAGCAGTGTTATGTCCCTGATCGCCCTCTTTTTCCCTTCACAGAAAGGATTTGGGGTGGCCCTGATAGAGCAGTGTGCTTTTACCTCTCTCTTTCCTCTTCCTCCAGAGGGTGAGAGGCAGCTTCCCATGGGCATTTCTCTTGGCCCCTCTCCCCTCCTTTTTCCTTCCTACTACACTCTTGCCCAACAGTACAAATATGACCTGTTTCTCACCTGCCACTGCTGTGCGATGTGAGATTAATGAAATATGTCCATCTTCTTTCTTTTCCCAGCCTGCGCTGGGGTGTGGGACTGTCAGAGCCTGGTGTTGTGTAACTTGTGTGCCAAAGGGGACACGGAAAGTCAGTGGCCTCTGGGTACCTTGGTTTCCAGTCGGTATAGTGGGAATAATAGCTGTGCCCTTCTGCAAAGAGTTGTATGGGGATCAAAGTTCATGAGGCAGTCTGATCCGGCAGTAACGATGGCTATTTGAGGATTTGAGATTGTTATTGAGGGGCCTGCAGGTCTTACATCAGTGAATTGACCTCCTGCCAAGTCCAGAGTGCTCCAAACTTAAAATGTGGTTTATAGGTGGAATGGGAGAGCGCCCTGTTGCTAGCGTCCCTCTCTCCAAGAGCTTTGACTTCTTTCTGATTTCATTAACTTTTAATCTTATTTTTAATTTTCTGATATCTGTAACTTAAGGTACAGCAAGTGAAATGCAGAATCATTTCTCACCTGCTGTCTGAGGTTTGTGGTAACTGAGTTTGTTTTCTTCTTCTCTTCTGTCCCCAGAGGCCTTAGTTATTAATGACCCTGACTTCCAGCATGAGGATTTGAACTTCCTGTCCCGTAGCCAACGCTATGAGCAAGCCATCAGGAAGAGCTCTCTGATGGTGATGAAGTTAAGAGAATATGGAATCGCCGATCCAGAGGAGATCTACTGGTTTAAAAGGTACCTAGCTGTAGAGTTTGCTTTTTATGTGTACTTTGATCTTCACCAAAGATGTTAGAGTTGTGCTTTTTTCCTATGTTTGCTGTCCAAGGGAAGCTAAAGACGTGTATGAAAGCCCACTGAAGTTTTGGCTTCAGTGAATTTCAGATGAAACTCCAATTACCTGAATATTGTGTTTTCTTAGATTTTTGACTAGAAATGCACCATTAATATTTGCACCCTTTTTACTATATATGGTCCAGAAAGTAAAAAATGGGACTTGTAGTACTTTTTTTTTTTTCCCAAAAGGAATAAAAAATGTACTGAAATATTTTGAATCTGAATAGATCTGATGTGGTTTCAGCATCTAATGAAATCTCTTAAAGCTGATTACTTCACTTTGCACTTAGACCTAATAAAGTTGCATTACAGGCATACTTGAAAATGTTCCAATATAGCGCTTAAATTCTTGTTTATAACTATCTGTCCTCTCTCCCTCCTCCAAGCTCCTGGTGCTATAGTGGTTCCCTTTGACCTAGAGGCTTTTTGTTGTATCTGACCTTTTGGTTATCTGATAGTATTACCCTTGGATTAAGTTAATAAAAATAAAACTGTCTTTACATCTGAGTTCCGTTCCTTCCAGCTTTCAGGGAGCTTAGTTCCTGATTTGATGTATCTGTCCCCTTGGTTCTATTAAACTCATTCTGATATAATAAAACAGAAACTGCTTAACAGAGACACTCTACAGCTGTAGAGATCTGGACGTAATACCATGAATATATCCTCTGGCACATTAAATGAACATTACACATTAAATAATGCACTGGTAGAATCACAAGCCTGGACCTTCTGACTGGATTTGTAGAAAAACTATCATTGGCCTCAGGGCGTGAAATTGGGACTAGTTAGTTGAAATCATCTTGTCTGTTGTAGTCTTAATTTCAAAGAAATTAGTCTACACTGACCTATGTCATGAAATTTCTAGTGGAAGTAATGTAAATGTTCTTTTGAAAATTGGCATTGGCAGACAATGATAACAAGAAAAAAGTTCAGTGACTGTGTTAGGTTATTCAGGTACTGCATGGCAAAAGTTAATCATTAATTTTTCCTACACAAGGATTATTGGAGGTGATAGGGAAGTTCCTTTAATTATTTTTATGGAGAAAATTCGGAGAAGACTATCCAGTATACCAGCTGGCAAATTTCAATGAAGTTTGCAATGTAAATGCTGTCTTTTGGTAGCATTACTGACAATATTTCATGAAAATAGGACTATTTTGAAGTAGTCAAATGATAGATTCTAGTTTTGTCTTTCCATAAACTTATTTGGGAGTCAGCAATTCATCCATCTTAAATGGATGAAAGATATATTTCATATAGGTACAAAATACGTCCATATGTACATGTGATATGAACAGTCAGGTGTGACTTCTCAGAATTCACGATCCAAAATCAACTGAAACAATGAGGAAGGCTTCACTCTTTGTCAGTCAATTCTAATTGCAGACATTCAGGATTTCAAATGGCAATTGCAATTACTGCAGACTGACTGTATTTTCCAGTGTCTTCTGTAATAACATGTAGAAGAACACTTGCCTACAAGTGTTTGCTCTAAGAACCGTATACTGTTAATATTCTTGATTTGAATTCTTTACTATAATGTCTGATGTTTGCGAGGGAGGATGTTGCGAAACAAAAGGATTATTTTTTCATACATTGATTTCACTTGTATTTTAACATCTGTCCCCACTTTCTCACCTGCTGAGTGTCAAATGTTTTTTTTTTTTTTTAAACTTGGCAAACTCCACCCAACTTGCAAAATCAAGTTTATTTCTATCGCATATCCAAACATGTTAGTTGGTACTAACTAGAAGGGACTTCATTTGTGTAAAAGCTGACCTGAAGAGACTGTGTTTGTACTTATTTTTTTCCAAACTGGAAAATTGAATGGATATGGTGGTGTGACATGCCTTGAATGAAGTTTATGAAATAGATTGAAGTCCTTGATTCAGATGTCAAGTTGTATTTATTGTGATTGACCATTAGATTTTTACATACGGAAGCTTAAGATACTTCTAATTCCGCATGCCTTGTGATTATCCTCAAACAGCAGGGACAGATTTATTTACATATGCAACTTTGAGAATTGTGAGCTCGTTGTTTTCGTGTAGCTTTTGTATGCTACCAGAACTTCACTAGGTAGCTTTGTATCATGAGTGACCAACTTTATAGCTTCGTTTATGAGTAGGCGAGGAGAAATGCTTTTTCCTTCAGCTGCCCTGGAGATACGCTTAAATAGTTATTGCTGCTGTGACCTGTCGAACTGAATACTCCTCCTTCATGTTTCCACAAGCGCTTTGTTGGACTCCAAAACTTAAATGGACTTATCAAATATATCTAGTCAAATCTTCCTGTGTCTTAAGATGGGTCAACACTCCAGTTACAGCTTTTGAAGGCCAGCAGCCTTAAAGTGCCAATACTTAAGATTTCTTTTGCAGTCTAACTGCCGCAAAATGTAAGTCAGCGTGAAAAATGGGAAATTGTTTTGATGTATAATGCTACACGGCTCTTTGAAGAGAGCAATCTGGTCAGTTTTAATTCACTTTCAAGTTTCAATAACCTTCACTGAGGAAAATGGGATTAAATGAAGAAGTGAATGAAATGAAGTTGGGAGAGACTGGGGCACAGAAGAAGAGAAGATCTGAGAGCTGCAAGTCAACAGATGATGCCTGTGTTCATAAGCACTGCATGAATGTGCGCTTTCCCCATGAGAATTTGTCTGTCCTTCTCATTTTTAGACTAAAGTTAGGACCTGGAGTAGCTTTTGGTGAATCAAACCAGAAAAACTGTAGTAGGGGCCTTACTAGCCACCACTCAATTAATTTGGCGTGAATGAGTCTGACTTGGGTTTTTTGATACAGCTAGAAAAGGAGTTTATTACCATAGCGTTTGTTAACTCTGAAGCCCAGTAAGCACAGGTCCGACATACCTCCTGCTCCTTCTCCACTGTGACCCAGTTCTGCAGCCTGAGAATGTCTTTGCAATCGTTCATTTAGCTTTGGAGTCTCTAAAAACAGACTTTACTTCTCTTGTACTCTGTTCACTGACAGATATGCTGTCGAAGTCATCTGTGAAATACGAGTGCCTTTTACTATGTGGGTGGCATTGGTTACTGTGAAATCTAGAAAGATCTATATTGCCAAAGTAGTGTATTACTACACATCCTTTGCCTGTAAGTAGACTTGGAACTGCAGCCCATCTCTTGACTCGCTGATTGTTGTAGCAGGTTTGACTTCAGACCAACGAGGCGACGGTCATTGATCAAGCGCGTAGTGCTAGATGCAGCTAGCCACGTTCGGTCTCGATGTAGCAAAGTACTTGGAACAGTTACACAATGCAGCCTTTGGTGAACAAGATGTATAGGTAGTGGGCAATGCCAAGTGGGAATGTAGAAATTGGGAGGGGAAGGAGTAAGAGTTCAGACGAGGAAAACCTGTTGTTCCTCCCTTCGCAGCTAGTACCTCTTCTGTTTGCCCTGTGTCATGAGGAAAACAGGATTCTCTCTTGTTGTCATTCAAGTTAAAAGGCACGTTAAGAAGATCCTAATCATTCAGTGTGGAGTATGCAGAGATGAGAATTTTCTGCTGTAAATTAGCTAGCTTTAGTTCTGCTTTCAGCTTTGTTAATGCAAGAAACTGTAAAAATGAAATAGTATGACCTTCTGACACAGCGCTGTTAAAGTATCTGCTTGCAAAATGTCATTCTTTGTACTCCTATCAGAGAAGGTGCTAGTTAAGCATGAAATATCTGGCACTTGTGATTAAACTTACTGATAAGCAGTGGAAGTTGCTGGTGTGACCTTTAAGAAGATTTCTTTTTTCATCGAGCATTACCTTGAAGAAAGCAGTGTCTGACCTGATTTTTCTGACAGCAAAGCATGTCCTGCACCTTTTTCACAAATTCTTGCAGTGGCTCCTGAAAATGCACAAAGAACTGTTCAAGCTTTTCACAAGCTGCTCTGAAACAATGTATTTCAAAGTCAGCGCTCATTTTCTCCCTGTAGGTTTGTCCTACAGATGCACAAAAATTGTGCTGTAGGCAGTGAGGAAGTAAAGGGTGCTGCTATTGCTATATGGGTTCCAGACTAAAAGAATAACCCGCTCAGGAAACCACAAGAATGCTGGAAAATATTCTGTCATGCTGTCTTTGTAGCATTTTTAAGCCCTTGGTCACCCTGATAACTTCAGCTTTGCAAGCAAGTGCAGCTGTAGGCAATAGAATATTTTCTGGTAAGAGAACTGGCTGCCTCGATTCCAAGAACTCTGGGCACTGTACCTGCACCCACACCAACTTAATACGTTAATCACCAGCATTAGATTACTTTTTTAGAATACTTTTGCTCCTGGAGAAATCCATGGCTCGTTTAGTCTTGTCTATTTAAAAACTGTTCATTTAAAATAAGTGTCTTCAGCATGCAGTTCAGTGGTGCTGAAGAAGCTTTGTCCTGTTTTCTTTCACCCTAAGGCTGAGTTTCACAGTTTGCATAGGGATCTGGTTTTGAATTATCAATTATTTACTCTCTGCTCCCGGGCACTCATTCCAGGTGTGGTGTAAAATGCCAATCACAAATGCTGCTGTAATTTGACAAACTATATGCATAGCATCCCCTACACCGTGCAGATCTGTGTTGACAACGAACTCTAAAACGTGCTCCCTGGGCAGATATGAATTCATCAAGATGGAACGACACATTTTCCTTATAGGCATCTTGGGCAGATGGGAGATATCTTATATGTAGGTATTCACGCAGAGCACTCATTTTTTTTCCTCCTCCGTCTTAGTTTGGGTGGAATAAGCATTCATGTACAGTAGATTGAAGATGAAAAAGCTGTTGAGACTGCAGAATGTTAAGATGCTGTCATTTACTACATAGCTTTTACACAGTGAAGCTTTCTAGCATGTTTGTGAAGATGCCTGAAAGAAACATACATTTCCCCATTAGCATTGCTTCTAATGTCTCCATATTTGGAGGTTGCTTGTGGGACAAAGAAAAGGTTGAAATAGGCAAATAGATTATTTATCTTATGCTACAGTTGGAGAAGCCTTTCAGGATCACAGTAACACTAAGACTGAGATCCAGATCCCTCTATTTCTCTCCTGTAGAACATGCTTGGGCAGTTTTCCTGAACCTTTCGGTCTCCACTTCAGCATGTTTCAAAAAACCTTAGAGACCCAAACGACTGATGCTCAGAAGGAGAAGTGGCTGCCTCTGGTCCATGGAGTCAAGATAATTGGCACCTACGCCCAAACCGAAATGGGACATGGTTAGTTCCCTTCAGGGATCAATGGGTAACCTCTTTTCTGTAACTCCAGTTTGTAAATTGATGATGCTCCCCAGGTAACTCTAAAAGGGGAAAGGTAAAATGGGTTGGTTAACTGTTGGCGTTTCCTGCCCTATAGCCAGACAACTGCTTCATTTCACATCCTAACAATCACAGAGTTAGTTTTGGTCTTTTCCAGAATGCACCTCTTAGCTGATCACTGACTTTGTAGTTGTTTACCTTTGTTTGGAGATGAGGAGGTTGTTCTAAGCCCTGGGAGTCTTGCATTTCACTTGAACCGGTCAAAACATGTCAGTCAAAAGTACTGTGGGTTTTTACTTTTGCCTGAATTTAGGGCATGTGTATCTCAGAATTCTTAGTGCGTGACTGGCCTGCATAAGCAGGTCAGAAGTACACCTTTTGATGCAACGTAGCATGGTGAGATTGTGCATTTTTGGTTTTGAAAGTAAGGTATGCTTTGCCCCAAGCACTTTTCTTCCAGATGCTACTTCATTGCAGCTGTACAACTTCATGGAAAGATCTTGATTTCAAAGGAGAAAAACATCTTATTCCTACTATTGTTGAAAACAACTTTCACTTCTTCAAATGGAAGAACGTTTAATGGATCAGAAAGCAGTCTTTTAGCCCAGAACCTGAAATATGGCTGTTTAATACCAACAAGAATAGTTTAACAAACCGAAGACATTGGTTCTTGTGCTGGCATCTAAACTTGGAAAGCATGATATATACGAGTCTGGACAATTGCAAAAGTTAAATGGTAATGCCAATTGCCTGCCCGTTCAGATACAGCTACTCGTGGTAGCTGAAACACTTGTAGAAGATGCGATGGAGGAAATCCTGTCATCTGTTCTGCTTGGGAGAGATGGAGTGAGCAAACCTAGCTCAACACCAGAAGCTGAGAGACAACTGGATGGCAATAATAAATGTCTGCTGACCTCGTTTGCTTTTTCACACCAACTTCTTTAAATCAGACACATCCACACCAAAGTGATTTGTTTTATTTGCTATTTCACATCAGATCATTGCACTTTCTTCCCTGGTGATGGTCTGGTTTGCTTGTAGTTATCATACTGTTTGATGTTAAAATTAGTATTTTGACACTTAGTAGAACTAATATGGTGATAGTATGGTAAAGTAAATATACTTTCCATGCTGAATAATTAAAATGCAAGCATTTGGCA